TGCTGCTGCTGCACGTGCTGCTGTCGCTGCTGCTGCTGCTGCGGGCAGCAGCAGCAACTTGCTGCTTGTGCCTTACCCTTAAGCTGTGCCCCCGCAGAGAGGACTATCGCCTGCGGTGTGATTTGCTGCTGCGGGGGGCCCTCTGTGCTGCTGGGGATGCAGCACAAGCAGCAGCAGCAGCAGCAGCAGCAGGTGCGGGACACGCGCCTGCAGCAGCACCCAAAGCGACGCTGGCTGCGCTGCTGCTGCACCACAGCAGCAGCAGCTCTGCGTTTCCACGCAGCAGCAGCAGCACTGCTGCTGCTTCGAAAGATTGTTTGAGTTTGCTGAGCCGTCTTGTGGAGTCGTTGCTGCGCTGCTGCAGCTTCACCTGCAAAAGCTGCAACACCAGCAGCAGCAGCAGCAACAGCAGCAGCTTCGTCCCCTCCTGGTTCTGTTTGCGTTGTCTTGCTTGTGCTGGGTGCCCTGCAGCTGCCAGCAGCAGCAGCAGCAGCGGCAGCAGCGAACTATGTGAGGAGGCCCTGAGTGTCCCTGCTGCAGCAGCAGCAGCAGCAGGAGCAGCGCCGCGCAGCTGCTGCTGCTTCCCTCCAGCTGTGACTTTGGCTGCGCTGCTGTCTGTTGACTCAGAAGCCTTTACTGCATGCGCATGCAGTGCTGCAGTTTGTGGGTCTTACCCATGGAGCCGGCTGGGGGGCTGTGGGGCCCCAGCAGCAGCAACAGCAGCAGCAGCAGCAGCAGCAGCAGAGCCCGGCAGCAGCTGCTGCGCGCTGCCGCTGCGCAGCAGCGAAGGACTGCAGGCCGGGGAGCTGCTGCTGCTGCGGTGGCTTTCGCTGAGGGCCCTCAGTGTCTCCTTCTTTGAATATCGTCTCCTGAGTGCAGCAGCAGCAAGCTGGCGGGCCCAGTGCCGCGCAGCAGTTGGCGCCCAGCAGCAGCAGCAGCAGCAGCAGCAGCAGCAGCGGTGCGGCGGAGCAGCAGCGACCCCCAGGAGAAGCAGAAGCAGCAGCACGACTGCCTATTCTGCTGCTGCGCGTCGCTGGGGCTCTGCGGCGCTGAAGAGCGTGGCGGCAGCAGCAGCAGCAGCCCACGCCTGCGTCCACAGCAGCAGCAGCAGCAGCAGCAGCAAACCGCTGGGCTGCTGCTGCTGCCTCTGCAGCGCCAACTTGGCCCTCGATTTGCTGCCGCCCCCCGCTGAGGCCCTCGTGGGCTTCGGGCCTTCGGAAGGTTATGCTTTCTTTTACTTGGGGGCTTACGAGCGG